AAAAAAAAAAAAAAGCAGTTGTGCTCCAGGCACAAGTCCTTTAAAGTAGCACTTACTGGACTTACTAAATGAACCCAATCCTAAAAGCCAGACTATACTCAGGAATTTCCTTTGAAGTCATAAAAAAAAAGGGGTCCAGATTTGTTTCCCTGACCTGAGTTACCTTATCTCAGAGGCAGCAAAAGATTTTGTTCAGCTTTGAACTTATATGTTTTCATACTTCTATGGAACTTCTCACAAAAATGAGAGGAAGAACTGAACAGATATATTTTAACCTCTCTCCCCCTCAAGCACTCTTACATATGATGTGTCTGTATTATGCAAACTTATCATCAAAAGCTAGTTCCCCAGGCCTAACAAGCCTTCAAAGCACTGCAGAATGCTTCCCACAAGACAGAATTCTTCTCAGAAGTTTCATGGCTGTTAGATGATCACTAGCACCAAAGATTCTCCTTTTTCCCTTTCTCATCTTTGAAACAGACCTACTAACCTGATGATCAAATACAGATATGGGACATGGACCTAAAAAATAGACATGGGAAGGATAACAGCACAAGAAACTCTAACCATAGAATCAATTTATTAACACCACATTTATTAATAACAACTTCTTAAATCAGCATAGATGATGTTAACTTGCAGAAATGAACACAAGATACCACCTTGGTGCAGGGTGGAGACAGACCTGGGTCTAAAAAATAAGAAACTTACAGTAGTGCACTTAAAGTTAATTCCAATCCTAAGGATATTTTAGTCTAGTAATATTCATTTTTTATGAAAAGAAAAATCCCTATAATTGGAATTAAATTAAAAAGAATGTTTATTACATCTTCTGAGATATACTTCCAACCACAGGAAGGTGAATGAAATCAGACAGGATCGATAGATAAGAAGAGCAGAGTGCTTAATTGTTTCCTAATTTGTTGCTACTTCTGTTTTATATATTTTTGCGTTTTCTAGGTGTCACCTAGAACCCCGCCTCCAATGCAAGCAAAGGTAAGGGCCTTCAACATCTCACAAAGTCTTTATTGTCTAATACATATCAACTGGAATGCTGCTTTCATTTTCTTTGACTGTGTTGTTTTATAAAGGAGGTTTAGAACAGTGTTTAGAGTAAGGGAGTAGGAGTCACAAACTCTAAATTCTGGGCATAGATAGAAGTGACCATTTTAGTCTGATCTGGCCACAGAAAGCAGTTTATAGCCATGACCGAACACAAGTGCACAGCTGCAGACAGATTTAAAAAATGGCCAATCAGGTGAAAATCTGCCCCCTCATATCTTCATCTGACCCCTCATGATATTTCAAAACAAAGCATCTGCTGTAACTTGCGTCTGTACTGCCTGCCAGCCTCGAGCTGTTTTCAGAATGGGAAGGGCGGGAAGAAACAGAGGAAATTCAGTTTGGGGGCTTGTTGGCCCCTGCTGGAGGGTGGAGAAAGTATATTGGAGTTCCCCACCTCCGAAATGGGGCGACTCCAATTCACCCACTCCACCCTCCACTGCTGGCTGGGGAACCCCTAAAATGAGCTCCCTTTGCTCCCTTTCCCCCCTCCCAGTCTGAAACGGGACAGGCTGGGAGAAAGGAGAGGCCATTACTAGGGCAAACTGGCTACAGGCTGGTAACCAGCAGCTAGATTCCCCTCCCCCTGAAACCAACAGTGAACTTCTGTTTGGTTTGGGGGATCATTGTAGCTCAGAATGCTTCCTGCAAGGTGTTCTCATTTACAGCGGAGTGCTGCACTTCTGCCTGGACCCTCTATTCCTGATTGTGCTGCTAACTTGTTGCATGACCCCAGCCAAGGCATATATTGGCGCTCTGCCTCAGATTAGCCACCTGTGGAGATACTAGCACCTGCCTTCTTATCCAAAGTATTTTCAGCATCTGTTCTATAAGGAAATTAATTAAATGCAACTCTTATTAATATTTTTAAATATTCTTTGCACAAATCTGAATCTCTGTGTAAGAAGCTACTGAAATTACAATTACAATGGAACCAAAGTGGCTTAAATAAACTTAACTGAAAATTTTTTTGTTTCGCTAATCAAATGATTATTTAAAAATATTTTTCATTAGTCAATGACATCTAGAAATGGAATAAAGCAGTCAATAAAGTTATTTCACTGTCTTTTTTGTTTCATATAATAATTATTCACACATTTATGTTTCCATTATTTGAACAATTTTATTTAATGCTTTTTTTCCTCCCATTCCCTATTCTCTTGGATGTTCTTTGTTCTATGATCATCATATCACTGTTTCTATTTCTTGCATATGCAGGGGAGAGGATTATCCCTCGCCAGATTTAGCTGGGTAGGTGACGAATGCACTTTCATTCACAGCCATTTTGGTTATCCAGGCCAAAGCATGTCTTTCTCCATTGCGTTTCAAGCTACTGCAGCAACTTGATATTTATGTTTCAGTCTAAGCTTCTTTTGCTTTATTCCTTCTCATCCACTTCCCAGTGGTACCCAATGATAGTTGTATTGCTTGCTCTTATCCAGCAGCTTGTCAACCTTGCAGTGATATAATCTCCCTTGCTTTAGCACAAATGGAACAAGTCTACTGCATGGCAAACCTCTTTCCTTTAAGGCTCATGGAAGACTCAAACTGCTTTTTGTCTTTTCTTTTTGCGGGAAGGGAAGAATGGAAGGTTGGGTTGGGAAAAAGTATGAAACTTGTTATTAAAACTTAATTTTTTCTTGTTTGCTAAATTCTGTAAACTAATATTACCACTGATGTGAACATTTCTGTCAGCTTGTTTGCAATCCCTTTCAGTAAGAATATGCCAACCCTACTGGTTACTCTACGGGGTTTTTTTCCTACAGTTATACAATTTAAAGGGGGACAGCATACAGGAGCAGAGCAGCAGTTATTTCACAACTAACCACATTCTACTTTCTCCTCCACTACAGGTTTGATTATGTATATGAACAATATATGCAGATCACTCCCTTGATTTAGATGGTATATTCAAGTTCTAAAAATATTATGCATTTTTAATCACAAAGCCATCATTTTAACACAAGGTTTTTAAGTTAAAGTCACATGTTTTACAACCTTTAAAACTGGTCATGAAATGGGCCATATATTAGTTGCCATCATTCTGATTAATGATTTAATATGTCAGCTATTACAATCAGAACTATCAATGGTTTTTTCTAAGATTTTTCTGATTTTTTAAAAAAACTCTCCATTAGGCCACAGCTCTGTAGTTCAACTTGAGATAAAACTCCCCTTAAAGTCAATATTCAATGGACTTATTTTCTTAATATAAATGTTAACAGAATAATCCTCAGCTCCCATAATGAAGTCTGTGGAAACTAAGGGCCTTGCAGCATAAAGGCTATTATTTGCAACAGCCTATTACAAACCAGAAAGTTCTTTTGCTGACTATTGCCCTCTGTTGCACAAATATTTCATATAGCTATTACACCACCCCATTTTCTCACGTGTGCTGCTGTTTTGCTAGGAACAAAACCCTGAGAGGTCCTGAGCATCAGATGAAAGGATGTTCAGCCTTTCTTGCAAATCCATATTAGCTGACTTCAATAAGAGTTGATGGTGGCTCCAAGGCACACAGAATTGGGCAAACTGTGATGGGACTAGGGAATCAGCAGAAATACTAATAGCTTTAGTAGTAGAGTCCTGGGCTTCCCAGTTCCACAGTATTTAATTTGCTCTCTCCTTTTTGTATAAATGTTAAAGCTAGGTTTGGCAGTTGTTCAGTTTGCATGAGTTTCTTTGAAGCCCATTTGAGTTCTGAATGGCTAAAGAACCAGCTCTACAATTGACTCACCCATAGACACCACAAAAAGGTGCAATGAATAAAGGGTTCTGTCCTGTTTCTACTGAAGCTGACTAATGTTCTGCCATTCATTTTAATTGATTACTTCCTGTCCCTTCTAGGAAAAGGGCTCTACTGAGCATGGTATTTAATAAAATGTAAAGAATTTTAAAATAAAGGTGATTTCTCTGGATTTATAATAATTTTAAATTAGGTCATTTTCACAGCATTTCTTCTGTACAAATAAGATAAAATAATCTCTTTTACTTCCTTTGTAAACATGTTTGATTGCTGTCATATTGTGTCTATGGAGCTCTGTGACTATATTAATTTTACTTTATTGTTTAGCAACATAAAGTTCATTTTGGTGGATCCAAACCAAATTTGGCACTTAAGATTAGGGGGAGAAACCAGTGAGGCATGGACAACAAGTTGTCCTTTTATTCCTGAAAACAGTTCTTCCAGGGCAAAATAAAAGAGGAGCTTGCACTGAGAAGAATTTAAATTAATTTAAAAAACCAAATAAATCATCCAAAATGACATTGTTGTTTTCCAAAAGTTAAAAAAAAAAAAATGTATTTATGCTTGAAACAGAGGGTTACATTTATATCACTGAAACATATTCAACAAGAGGTTGGTGGCAAGGTGCCACCAGTTGCATAAAGGGACATTGAGCAACCCTATTCTAATACTACATATCATTCCTGGGCAGTTTACCTTATCATTAAACATTGTACCTTT